AAGTCTGCCCGAAATGCCTAGCCATACTAGGCGTTCTAGTGGTAAGATAAGAGATAAGATAAGATAAGATTTCGTTCGGATTTTTAACCCCGGAGGGTTAGCCACCCAGGATAACCCAAGAAAGTCAGTGCGTCATCGAGGACTGTCTAACTTATTTCCATTGGGGTCCTTAATCTTGTCCCCCAGGATGCGACCCACACCAGTCGACTAACACCCAGTACCTATTTGCTGCTAGGTGAACAGGACAACAGGTGTAAGGAAACGTGTCGAAATGTTTCCACCCGCCGGGAATCGAACCCGGGCCCTCCATGTGTGAAGCGGGAGCTTTAGCCACCAGGCCACCAGTACACTCTGTAATTATTATTTTACTACATGTAAACCACACAATAACCAAATTCTGTAAACTCAGCATTGTAATACTTATAGAGAATAAAGTTTGAATTTGAATTTGAATTTGAATTTGAATCACCATGTCAGTGACCTCCATCGAAGACACCATGAGACTCCAAGTGGACATCAACTAAATCTTCGAATGGGCCACTCAAAACAATATGAAGTTCAACGAGGAGAAATTTCAACTACTCAGATATGGAAAACCTGAAGAAATTAAAAATGTGTCAGGGTATACCACAAATTCTAACCATACAATAGAGCAGAAAAGTAATGTGGAGGACCTGGGAGTGATAATGTCAGAGGATCTCGCCCTCAAAGACCACAACAATGTATCTACCTCATCCGCTAGGAAAATGATAGGATGGATGATAACAACCTTCAAAACAAGGGATGCCAAGCCCATACCTGGAGTTTACCTGGAGAGAGTTTCGGGGGTCAACGCCCCCGCGGCCCGGTCTGTGACCAGGCCTCCTGGTGGATCAGCCCCTGATCAACCAGGCTGTTGCTGCTGGCTGCACGCAAACCAACGTACGAGCCACAGCCCGGCTGATCAGGAACTGACTCTAGGTACTTGTCCAGTGCCAGCTTGAAGACTGCCAGGGGTCTGTTGGTAATCCCCCTTATGTGTGCTGGGAGGCAGTTGAACAGTCTCGGGCCCCTGACACTTATTGTATGGTCTCTTAACGTGCTAGTGACACCCCTGCTTTTCATTGGGGGGATGGTGCATCGTCTGCCAAGTCTTTTGCTTTCGTAGTGAGTGATTTTCGTGTGCAAGTTCGGTACTAGTCCCTCTAGGATTTTCCAGGTGTATATAATCATGTATCTCTCTCTCCTGCGTTCCAGGGAATACAGGTTTAGAAACCTCAAGCGCTCCCAGTAATTAAGATAAGATAAGATAAGATAAGATTTCGTTCGGATTTTTAACCCCGGAGGGTTAGCCACCCAGGATAACCCAAGAAAGTCAGTGCGTCATCGAGGACTGTCTAACTTATTTCCATTGGGGTCCTTAATCTTGTCCCCCAGGATGCGACCCACACCAGTCGACTAACACCCAGGTACCTATTTGCTGCTAGGTGAACAGGACAACAGGTGTAAGGAAACGTGTCGAAATGTTTCCACCCGCCGGGAATCGAACCCGGGCCCTCCGTGTGTGAAGCGGGAGCTTTAGCCACCCATCAGTTACACAACCCAGGGCAACATGGGTTTAGAACAGGTCGCTCCTGTCTGTCTCAACTACTGGATCACTACGACAAGGTCCTAAATGCACTAGAAGACAAAAAGAATGCAGATGTAATATATACAGACTTTGCAAAAGCCTTCGACAAGTGTGACCATGGCGTAATAGCGCACAAAATGCGCGCTAAAGGAATAACAGGAAAAGTTGGTCGATGGATCTATGTGTCACTAGCACGTTAAGAGACCATACAATAAGTGTCAGGGGCCCGAGACTGTTCAACTGCCTCCCAGCACACATAAGGGGGATTACCAACAGACCCCTGGCAGTCTTCAAGCTGGCACTGGACAAGCACCTAAAGTCAGTTCCTGATCAGCCGGGCTGTGGCTCGTACGTTGGTTTGCGTGCAGCCAGCAGCAACAGCCTGGTTGATCAGGCGCTGATCCACCAGGAGGCCTGGTCACAGACCGGGCCGCGGGGGCATTGACCCCCGAAACTCTCTCCAGGTAAACTCCAGGCCACCGGGCCACCAATTGAGGTGTTTTATCTCCGTTATGCGCGCCGTGAAAGTTCTCTGTACATTTTCTAGGTCGGCAATTTCACCTGCCTTGAAAGGTGCTGTTAGAGTGCAGCAATATCCCAGCCTAGATAGAACAAGTGACCTGAAGAGTGTCATCATGGGCTTGGCCTCCCTAGTTTTGAAGGTTCTCATTATCCATCCTGTCATTTTTCTAGCAGATGCGATTGATACAATGTTATGGTCCTTGAAGGTGAGATCCTCCGACATAATCACTCCCAGGTCTTTGACGTTGGTGTTTCGCTCTATTTTGTGGCCAGAATTTGTTTTGTACTCTGATGAAGATTTAATTTCCTCATGTTTACCATATCTGAGTAATTGAAATTTCTCATCATTGAACTTCATATTGTTTTCCGCAGCCCACTGAAAGATTTGGTTGATGTCCGCCTGGAGCCTTGCAGTGTCTGCAATGGAAGACAGTCATGCAGATTCGGGTGTCATCTGCAAAGGAAGACACGGTGCTGTGGCTGACATCCTTGTCTATGTCGGATATGAGGATGAGGAACAAGATGGGAGCTAGTACTGTGCCTTGTGGAACAGAGCTCTTCACTGTAGCTGCCTCGGACTTTACTCTGTTGACGACTACTCTCTGTGTTCTGTTAGTGAGGAAATTATAGATCCATCGACCGACTTTTCCTGTTATTCCTTTAGCACGCATTTTGTGCGCTATTACGCCATGGTCACACTTGTCGAAGGCTTTTGCAAAGTCTGTATATATTACATCTGCATTCTTTTTGTCTTCTAGTGCATTTAGGACCTTGTCATAGTGATCAAATAGTTGAGACAGACAGGAGCGACCTGTTCTAAACCCATGTTGCCCTGGGTTGTGTAACTGATGGGTTTCTAGATGGGTGGTGATCTTGCTTCTTAGGACCCTTTCAAAGATTTTTATGATATGGGATGTTAGTGCTATTGGTCTGTAGTTCTTTGCTGTTGCTTTACTGCCCCCTTTGTGGAGTGGGGCTATGTCTGTTGTTTTTAGTAACTGAGGGACGACCCCCGTGTCCATGCTCCCTCTCCATAGGATGGAAAAGGCTCGTGATAGGGGCTTCTTGCAGTTCTTGATGAACACAGAGTTCCATGAGTCTGGCCCTGGGGCAGAGTGCATGGGCATGTCATTTATCGCCAGTTCGAAGTCATTTGGCGTCAGGATAACATCGGATAGGCTTGTGTTAATCAAATTTTGTGGCTCTCTCATAAAAAATTAATTTTGATCTTCGACTCTCAGTCTGGTTAGCGGCTTGCTAAAAACTGAGTCATATTGGGACTTGAGTAGCTCACTCATTTCCTTGCTGTCATCTGATGATTCTGTCATGATGATTCTCTGCAAATCGCTTGTGCTCTCTAGGCTGGAATACTGCTGTACACTAACGGCTACCTTGAAGGCTGGCAACATTGCAGACCTGGAGTGTACAAAGAACTTTCACTGCACACATAAGTGCGATAAGGCACCTAAACTACTGGGAACGGTTGAAGGTCCTTTATCTGTATTCCCTCGAATGCAGGCGAGAGAGATACATGATAATATACACTCGTAAGGTCCTGGAGGGATTGGCACCAAACCTGCACACGAAAATCACTCCCTATGAAAGCAAAAGACTCGGCAGGAGATGCAACATTCCCCCGATGAAAAGCAGGGGCACCACAAGTACAGTGAGAGACAACACAATAAGTGTCCAGGGCTCAGGACTGTTCAATTGCCTCCCAGCATACATAAGGGGGATTACCAATAGACCCCTGGCTGTCTTCAAGGAGGTGCTGGACAGGCATCTAAAGTCAGTACCTGACCAACCAGGCTGTGGTTCGTATGTTAGCTTGTGTGCGGCCAGGAGTAACAGCCTGGTTGATCTGATCTCGATCCACCATGAGGCCTGGTCTCAGATCGGGCCATGGGGGTGTTGACCCCCGAAACCCTCTCCTGGTAAACATCGTTTGAGGTGTTTAGTAGTTCTGTGCAAATGAGCGACTCTGTGACATACAGGCCAACTCCCCACTTGTTGCCTGGTTAGTCTGTCATATCAGAAAAGGTTATAACCTGATATCCATATTTCATTGTTATAATGATCCTTTATGTGGGTCTCTGTGAATGCATTTGACTCCATGAGCAGTCCCTTGATGTAAGGAATTTTGTTGTTTTTTGATGGCTTTAGACCCTGTATGTTTGCAAAGACAAATGGCGTTATATTGGTGGAATTTAGGGGGGTACATAGTATCGTATCTTGGAAAGGATACCTACTGTTTCGGAAACTTTCTCAGTTATATGCTGGTTGTGGGTCTGAAATTTAAGATTACAGTCAAGGTGTAGACCTAGAATTTTCCCTCAATGTGCCTTGTAATGGGTGAACCATTTATCGATATGTTGAGCTGGATATTTAATGCTCAGTTTCCACAAAGCACAAAGTGGGTTTTGTCTGTAGTGAGAGTAAGTTTGTTGGTCGTCATTCAGTTTGATATTTTATGTAGTCCACTGTTTACAGTGTTACTAAGTACAGCCAGGTTTGGGTGGGAGAAGATGTAAGTGGTGTCATCTGCAAATAGAACTGGTTTAAGTCGACTGGTGTGGGTTGCATCCTGGGATAAAATTGACCTAATTTGTCCAAAATGCTCTGCATAATAAGGGGCTTTCTATATAGTAGTATGTCATTGATGTCAGCTAGGCCTATATACCTTGTACATGTACTTGTAGAAATAAAGATATTATTATCAAACTTGAATGCCTCTCATTCCCTCAGGTACCATATAACCCCCTGTGGGTTTAGTGTTTCCCTCCTGAATTTAATGTAAACTTTTTCATGATGATTATAAAGTTCAATAATGTAGTAAAAAAAATATTAGGATTCAATGAAACTCTTGAAATGTGGCTTGCAGGATGTGGCATTACATAAGCAAGTACAAATAAGTATTTAATACATTTGGTTAATTATAGCTTACATAAAACTCATTGTTTGAATTACGAAACGACTACAGAATATTGATAAAATATATATTTTAACTTATTTGGCAGATAAATCATATACAGTAACTTAATTAGCTTTGATAACGATTAAACTCAGACACCAAATCAGTAATTGGTCCTTATACCTCATGAAGACTAGTAAAGGAATGTATAGCATATTTAATGCAGGTACAGTACTGAAGCTTCTGTAGTAACAAGTGTACACAGCTTCCACTTCACTTAAGTACAGTTGCATCATATCCATAACCCCAAGTTTGCTATATGTATAGGCATAATTTACCATTAGTTATATAGTAGTACTTAAGAACCTATACTGCCTCCACGAAAAACAATAAAAATCTCAAAAGATTCTACATAATAATGAGGGGTTATGCTCCAAGGAAGAAACCTGTATATCCTCCCTTTCCTTGAGTCAAACTCAAATGCCACCCATTCCCTATGCAATGTGCTGTATGACACCACATGTTTAGCACTTCCCTTGATGATGATAATAATAATAATCATAATAATAATAATAATAATAATAATAAAAATAATAATAATAATCTACTTACATACCTGTATACATTTTCTGCATGCTACATGCTCAAGCCCATAATATTCAAAGCTGCCCTATTCCCTTCCCTTCAACCATTCCCTGGATGACCTCTAACCCTCCTACCTTCCACCCCAGATTTATACACCATCATCCAATTCCTCCACATCCTGTATAGGTGGTTTGAATGGAGAGAGGTAGGATGACAAAGGTGTATAAATCTGGGGTTTAAGGCAAGAGGGGTAGGGATCATACTAGGAATAGTTAAGAGGGCAGGGGTAAAAAGAAACTTTTTTAGATTAGACATAAATGGAGCAAAGGCCAAGTGGGTTTTAATTATCATGCTGTTTAATGTGAGGAGCAGCAGCTTCAGTATTTCTCTGTTGGAAGCTTAAGGGTGGCTGCCTGGTTGGAAGAGGTAGCATAAGTACACTGTGTTGACTTAGTGCATATTACATATCAATAAGAACAGAAATGTTTTCTAAAGATTCTTTTATTCACACTTTTTATAGGGAGAAAACAACTGTCCTTATCAAAGAATAAAATCAATAATTACATGATATTTCATCAATATGTAAACCATCAAAATAATGGCTTTACTGATGTAATGATATACAACAAGACCAAAATATTCATTCTACTTTCAAAATAAAGGCTCAGGATAACTGGAAAGTTAAAGCAGTGTGATTTTTCCATTGTTGTGGTTGGTAGCAAGAGGATTAATGATGATGTCATCACTCAGACTCTTGGTTCTTTCCTAATTTATAGATATAATTGCAATATCACTTTGTTCTGTTGTCACTACTGTTGTTGCTCAAGTAAATTTTTATCAATCACAAGCAAGAAAACCTACATTCACATGCTGCAGAATTATGGTAGCTGGCAACGACACACTGATGCACACCACCTTATACAGATTTATGAAAGCATCACAGCATAGTTCAACAGAGTTGTAAATTCAAGTGAAGTGATAGTATTGTATGACCATTTTTTTCCCTCCCATGATATGGCACTTGATGAAAATTAATTTTTAATTTTCCTCTCTGATATCACTGCAAGACAAAATGAAGGTTTGTACCTTGACAGCAACTTGAAATTCAACACCCACATTCAGAATGTAACAAAAGAAAATGTTACCAAAATCAGTTGGCATCCTCTCTAAGATATGATACTATGTACCTCAAATAGCATTACTTACATTATACTACTCACTAATCTATCCCTACCTTGCCCATGCTATTTGTGCCTGGGGATCCATGACAGCAAATCAGCCAAAGCCCATAATAACATAAAGCAGCAGTATGAATGATCACCCAGTCTAGTGTAAGAAAACACACTCCTCCATGCTTTCAAAATCTAAACTAACTTAATACATATACATAAAATTCACTCATAGTACTGTGCATACTACATACACAAGACAATCAATTTTAATATTAATCTTGCCCTGAAACTCTTTCTTGATAGTTGCAACAGAATTCATAGCCATAATACTACACAAAAATCTCTATGATAATCCCCACATCTGACTCAACCTTTGTAAAACCTTAATGCATATAAAAGAACCATAAATCTGGAGCTCTTTACCTGACGATTTCAGAGGTTCCCTCTCTGCCATCCACTATAAGATAAGATTTCGTTCGGATTTTTAACCCCGGAGGGTTAGCCACCCAGGATAACCCAAGAAAGTCAGTGCGTCATCGAGGACTGTCTAACTTATTTCCATTGGGGTCCTTAATCTTGTCCCCCAGGATGCGACCCACACCAGTCGACTAACACCCAAGTACCTATTTGCTGCTAGGTGAACAGGACAACAGGTGTAAGGAAACGTGTCGAAAAGTTTCCACCCGGCGGGAATCGAACCCGGGCCCTCCGTGTGTGAAGCGGGAGCTTTAGCCACCAGGCCACCGGGCCACCAGGCCACCGGGCCACCAGGCCACCGGGCCACCAGGCCACCAGGCCACTGCTACTGCTAAACAGCCTCTCCTTACCTTAATACAATACTGTCCCTGTTCTTGTTTCATCCTTCCTTCAACTCTCATATATTATTAGACAGCTATATACTATCTCACTATACTTTGTATCAATTCATTTAACTAGCTTCATCCTTACTGTATTTTTTACTAGAATTTTATTTTTAATTACTGAATACTTTCAATATACCTGGAGTATACCTGGAGAGAGTTCCGGGGGTCAACGCCCCCGTGGCCCAGTCTGTGACCAGGCCTCATGGTGGACCAGGGCCTGATTAACCAGGCTGTTACTGCTAGCCACATACAGTCCAATGTACGACCTACAGCCTGGCTGGTCAGGTACTGACTTTAGGTGCCTGTCCAGTGCCTGCTTGAAGACAGTCAGGGGTCTGTTGGCAATCCTCCTTATGTATGCTGGGAGGCAGTTGAACAATCTTGGGCCCCTCACACTTATTGTGTTGTCTCTTATCATGCTAGTGACACCCCTGCTTTTCATTGGGGGGATGTTGCATAGTCTGCTGAGTCTTTTGCTTTTGTATTGAGTGATTTTCGTGTGCAAGTTTGGTACTAATTCCTCTAGGATTTTCCAAGTGTATATATAACCATGTATCTCTCCTGCCTGCATTCTAGGGAGTACAGGATTATAGCATTAGATAAATTAATACATAGCATTAGAAATCTTCCTTATGAAAAAAGATTGAAGACTCTTAAGTTGCATTCACTTGTTAGACGAAGAATGAGGGGAGACCTGATCGAAGTGTATAAGTGGAAGATAGGTATTAATGGTATACCATTTTGATGTTCATAGGTATTAATAAAGGGGATATAGATAAGGTCTTGAGGATATCTCTCCAAGAGAGAACCCGCAGTAATGGATTTAAATTAGATAAGTTTAGATTTAGAAAGGACATAGGAAAGTATTGGTTTGGAAATAGGCTAGATGATGAGTGGAACAGTCTACCTAGTTGGGTTATTGAGGCTAGGACTTTGGGTAGTTTCAAATTTAGGTTGGATAAGTACATGAGTGGGAGGGCTTGGATTTGAGTGGGACTTGCACATCAAAGCTTATTTCTTGGGTAGCATTGAAAATTGGGTTGGGCAAATGTTTTGTTAGTGGGATGAATTGTAAAGGACCTGCCTAGTATGGGCCAACAGGCCTGCTGCAGTGTTCCTCCTTTCTTATGTTCTTATGAGTGAGAGGGGTTGGATTTGAGTTATCAGAGCTTATTTCTTGGGTGGCATTGAAAATTGGGTTGGGCAAACGTTTTGTTAGTGGGATGGATTGTAAAGGACCTGCCAAGTATGGGCCAACAGGCCTGCTGCAGTGTTCCTCCTTTCTTATGTTCTTAACTTCAACCATTCCCAGTACCTGAGGTGCTTTATCGCAGTTATGCATGCCGTGAAGGTTCTCTGTACATTTTCTAGGTCAGCAGCTTCACCTGCCTTGAAAGGTGCTGTTAGTGTGCAGCAATATTCCAGCCTAGATAGAACAAGCAACCTGAAGAGTCATCATGGGCTTGGCATCCTTGATTTTGAAGGTTCTCATTATCCATTCTGTCATTTTTCTAGCAGATGCAATTGATACAATGTTATGGTCCTTGAAGATGATATCCTCTGACATGATCACCCCCTGGTCTTTGACATTAGTTTTTCACTCTACTGTGTGGTTGGAATTTGCTTTTTACTCTGATGAAGTTTTAATTTCCTCACGTTTTCCATATTGGAGTAATTGAAATTTCTCAACATTGAACTTCATATTGTTTTCTGCAGCCCATTTAAAGATATGGTTGATATCCACCTGGAGTCTTGCAGTTTTCAATGGAGGACACTGTCATGTAAATTAGGGTGTCATCTGCAAAGGAAGACACAGCGCTGTATCTTATATCCATCTATGTCCGATATGAGGATGAGGAACAAGATGGGAGCAAGTACTGTGCCTTGTGGAACAGAGCTTTTATAGTATAAACTAATAATATATATACATTTAAGTCATTCTCATTGAATTTATTTTACTGTGAATATCATTAATGTCTTATATACATACAGTAAGGCCCCGCTTTACGGTGTTTCTCCTTACGGCGTTCTGCTAATACGGTGATTTCAAATTATGACCAAAACTTATTATACGACTCCTGGTCTCTCTAATATGGTGCACCCCACCCAGTTTGTTTACATTTACCGTGAGCATATCTCTCTATTACGTCTGTAAATTTTCAAAAATTTCTAGTGTTTTAAAGTTAGTGCATATTTTTACATGTATGTACTCTGATAATTATACTTATGTGTACTTGTACCTAAATATACTTACACACTGTGCTGGCATGCAGGTACATATTAAAATCACTAAAAGTCCCTCTACTCTTGACACCATGTTAATAATATGTAATCTCTTGGGTGCATTAAATGTCATGTATTATGTTAATATAGACATTTCCATTAATCCATCTATGATATTTTTTTGAAAATTATATAATAAACACACTACATAACATATAAACATGATAAATACACCCACAGTAGAATAAATTAACATATATATGAGATGTGGCAGCCAGGCAAACATCAGAGAAAATGTGTACACTATAATATTACTGGGGGTAACTAGAAAATATTTCCTTTTGTATGCCTTCCCTCAGAGCGTCATTTCTTCTAAAAATGGTGTTACATGAGAATGGGAGTGTTTCTCTTTATTCTACTGTATCAACGTGGAGACAACTTGCACACAATGTAAAGTGTTTGTATTATGGCATAATACAAAACAAATGAAAACCAGATGTGTTTGCCTTGTTTGTTTACATTACATGTGGGTAGGGTGGGGTGAGCTGCCCTGGCTGGCTACCATACTTCCCAAACCTGACTTCCTACAAATAAAACTCACCTCTCACCCTACATTAAGTCTACAAATATTTTAAATCAAATCAAATCAAATCAAAGTTTATTCTCTATAAGGATTACAATGCAGAGTTTACAGATTTTGGTTATTGTGTGGTTTAGTAATGGGTGTACTGTGTGTGGATTTTACTTTTCTTTGTTTTTAATGCCTAATTTTATTGCTAACTTAATACAGCCTCTCCTAACTTAACGACGGAGTTCTGTTCCTGAGGCCACATCGTTAAATAAATTCGTCTCTAAGAGGAGCATACTATAATGGTAGTGAGTTTGTGTTAACCATCTTTGATATTGTTTTAATGTCACCTTTGCACCATTTATAACATTTTTGGTATATTTTTAAATGTTTATGGCATACTGTAGATTGAAATAAACAGAATAAAGGAAATCAGCTCTAATATACATTACTATTTAGGTATGAATAATGGTCAGAGAGCCCATCGTAAGTCCGAGGTGTCGGTAAACGAGTACGTTGCTAAGTGATGAGAGGCTGTATGTGTTTGTGTAAACTTGTTATCTGGCATTTAGGTGCATTTATATATGGAAAAAAAATGGTGTTCTGCTTTCTGGCAGTAGCCGGAACCTAACCTGCCATGTAAGTGGGGCCCTACTATATATGTAAAATACTATCTAATCACATCTGTAATAAATCATGTTACTAGTTTCACTCCTATTGTAATTCATATTAAATATTTTATTTTGAATTAACTGAATCATTTTAATACAGTAGGAACCCCATATTAGTGGGGGATACCTGCTGTGGATACCAAAACTGTGGATAATGGCAAATCCTATATATAAGTCCTATACATATCTATTATAAAGTTTAACTGATAAATTATGCACGTAAAGTGGAGAATTAACACATTTTATTGATAACTGAAACTGCAGATACTAAATCAATGAATACAGGGGTTCAACTGTACAGAATAATCTAAGTGACCTTATCACCATGTACCTTGCTATGATTTTATATTTCATTTACATTTGATTCATAAACATTTATTCTGTTTTACTGTGAATATCATTTATGTCTTATACAAGTATATTTAAAATACTATAGTCCTTCTAGATGTAAGTTAGGTTTAAGTTTGCATGAAATGCTCTACATAACTAAGGGACTTTCCATGTGACTGATGTAATGCCATCCAACTTTGTACAGATGATGTATCATGTGAAAATAAATACTGATCAACTGATTTAAAGTTAAATGCAATCTCCAGAATGCAAGATTTCTCTGGAAGCAATCTCCAGAATGCAAGATTTCTCTGGAAGCAATCTCCAGAATGCAAGATTTCTCTGGAAGCAATCTCCAGAATGCAAGATTTCTCTGGAAGTAGTCTCCAGAATGCAAGATTTCTCTGGAAGCAATCTCCAGAATGCAAGATTTCTCTGGAAGCAATCTCCAGAATGCAAGATTTCTCTGGAAGCAATCTCCAGAATGCAAGCTTTCTCTGGAAGCAGTCTCCAGAATGCAAGATTTCTCTGGAATGCAATCTCCAGAATGCAAGATTTCTCTTGAATATTCAATGTTGATGAACCCTTTAGTATGCTACATGTGCTGTTTGAAAAGTGTCTGTTTAATTTATTGACTAACCTTTTCAATTCTCAACTCAATGCCCCAATTAAATTGCTGATAATATTTTTGCAAGCATGCATGAGCATGTTAGATAAAAGTGAATAGAGACGAATGGTTTCTGGGGCCTGACAAGCTGTTGGAGTGTGAGCAGGGTAATATTTTGTGAAGGGATTTGGGGAAACCTGTTAGCTGGACTTGAGTCCTGGAAATGGGAAGTATAATTCCTGCACTTTAAAGGAAGGATTTGGGATATTGGCAGTTTGGGGGGACTTCTGAACTGTCGTATCTGAGCACCTCTGCAAAGACAGTAATTATGTATGAGTGATGGTGAAAGTGTTGAATGATGATGAAAGTATTTTTCTTTATTTTTGTTTTTTTTTCTTTCTTTTTGGGCCACCCTGCCTTGGTGGGAATGGCTGATGTGTTAAAAAGAAATTGCTAGCTACCACATATTAATTTATTATAAAATAATTTATCAATGTAATTGTGCTTGTATGTGATGTGTTTTCTTGAGCAGCAGCTGGAGCAGGCAAGGTACTGTATGTGTAGCAGCACCAGCTCCAGATACAAGGCTGATGTTTACTAGGCTGTATACTAGCTACAGTGTATTAAAACACTTTCATAAAGTTTACAAGGTCAGAAACAATTCCTTCCTGGCAAATTATTATTCACATCTCTAAGTGAGGCTGTAACATAAATAAAGTGAAGCTTATACCATTTTTTTAAATATTGCCTTATACTATTTGTCTCATATGAATAGAATTATATTTTTAATTTCCAATTAACTAATAAATTTGTAAAATAAATTCATTAAAACTGGAACCTCTCACATTAAAGAACACATCAGAAAGACATTTGTAGGTCCTATAATATTGGCTAGGGTCCAGAGTGCTGCAGAACTTGGGGATGAGTACTCAAGACATCTTGTAGCTTTTGCAAGACAGGTAAGTATTTGCTCAAAGGGTCACCACCTTCTTTATCCTCTTCCAGTTTCTGCAGTCGATGGTTTCTGTGTGAATATAATTTTACAATAAATGCTTTTACAAAAGATGAAAGATGAAAATAGTATGTCAGTAACAAAGCTAATGAACAGAATTAAGGATGTACAGGTCGGCCATCACTGATCTAACAATCACTAATCTGGCACTAATTTCAACTAGAACAATTTCAAATTTCCTAAGTCGCTGCTGAAAAATGGATGGTGTAAATTGTGGCCAGGGTTAATGTTTGAGACTGCACCTGGTGAAGACACTGAAAATGACTTTACAGGATTTAGGGTTTCAAAGGAAAAATAGATTATACATGATCTGCTGTCTTTTGCTCATGATCTGCCTAATCCTGCTGTGAAGGATCTTGTATCGAGAATGGATCAAATCAAATCAAATTTTATTTCTTTGCAAGATTATATTGAGATTATGAAATTACAATAATGAGTTGCAATGCAAAAGAGCCACTATCATGCCTAGGCATTATGGGCAGACTTAATTTAATGGCATACAGACTACTAAATACTAAAAAAATTGATCATAGTTTGTTTAAGTTGTACATCTTTTTGTTTACTGTAGACAGTAATTTTACTCTAATTACAATAGTTTCAATAATGAATATTGAAATTATATTATGGGAATATAACATTGTGAGTTGTTGAAAGTAGTTTACAGTATGTGAATGCTACAACTGGGTGTAAGGCAGCATTGTTTTGGTATTATAAATACCTACCCAATTGGGTAGTTATTATAATACCTACCTAATTTGGTAGGTATTCATAATAATGTATGAACTTTGGGCATCTAGATTTGAAGTTTTAAGATTTAGGTAATTGGGAAATTTCTTGTGAAGTTGAGTATTGAGTATTTAGTTTAGGGTGATTAGGTGGTTTTTGAGAAAAGCCTTAAATTGGTGTTCAGACCTGGTTACTTTAGTATTTACTGGTAATGAATTCCAAATTTTGGGGCCCTTTACATGCACAGAGTTTTTACACAGTGAGATATGGACATGGGGTACATCAAAAAGAGATCTGTGTCTTGTGTTGTGGTTGTGTGTCCTGTTAAGGTTGGTGAGGAGAAGTTTGAGTGGAGGGTTTATTTTTGAGTGTAGTGTTCTATGTATGTAGTAGGCACATGAATAAGTATGGATGTTCTTAACGGTGAGTAGTTTAAGACTTTTGAATATTGGTGGGGTATGCTGTTGGGAGTCGGAATTTGTTATTCTGGCTGCAGCCTTTTGCTGGGTTATTAATGGTCTTAGGTGATTTAATGTTGTTGATCCCCATGCACAAATTCTGTATGTAAGATAAGGGTAGATGACGGAATGATACAGTGCAAGGAGAGCTGATTGTGGAACATATTACTGTATTTTGGATAGTATGCCTACTGTCTTAGAGATTTTCTTAGAAATTTGTTGTATGTGTGTCTGGAATTTGAGGCTACTGTCAAGGTGGATTCCTAGGAATTTTCCCTCTGTGAGTCTTGTGATGGATGATCTGTTTAGCATTATGTTAAGTGGAACATTTGCAGCCCTGCTTTCAAACTGAATTAAATAAATTTTGTCAGTATTGAGGGTAAACTTATTTGTCATCATCCAGGTAGATAATTTCTGCAATTCGGCATTAACAGTGTTGGCCAGTATGACTGGGTTTGGGTGAGAGAAGACATAAGTTGTGTCATCTGCAAATAATATGGGTTTGAGTAGCTGTGATACATTCGGTAGGTCATTGATGTAAATGAGAAAGAGGAGTGGGCCAAGGACACTGACTGTGATTGATTGAGTGGAAGAATTTGCTCCATTTGTGTACACATATTGGCTTCTGTTACTAAGGTGTGACTTTACGTAGTTAACCCTTTGACTGTCGCAACCCCCAATCCTGAGGTGTCTCCTGGTGTCACAAAATTTAAAAAAAAAAAAAATTGTTTTTTCTTATGAAATGATAGAGAATCTTTTCCCGATTGTAAAGACACCAAAAAAACGAAATTTGATGGAAAACTGACGGAATTACGCTCTCGCGAAGTTAGCGACCTCGGCGATATTTACAAATAGGCGATTTCGCCCACTTTGAGCCCTATTTTCAGCTAATTCCATTATTCCAGTCAACCAAACTCAAAGCTATTTCTTCAGAACTCCATTTTTTCCATCGATTGAGTACAAGAAACTGCCCATTTACCGATTTCAACTACTCAATAACATGGTCAGAAATTTGCAATTTGGCCAATTTCACGAAAATTAAAAAAATGACAATTTCAAAATAAGGACCAGAATGAACAATGCAGACATTCCTGGCTCTAAAATAACATTTTCTTTGTTCATCAGTCATGTCTCCAGGCCCCTGTGATATTACTCTTGCTTTTTATTTTGAAATTTTATTCAAGCAAAAAATAGAAGATTTACTGTTATGCAGACTACTGCAATACTGTAGTAATTGTAAAAATTACATCAACCCATTCATGACTGCATATTAGAATGGCTATTTGGACATTTATTGGACAATGACATCATTTGTTTACTTTTGAACATCGGCAAAAATCAAACATTTCCCGTACTTTGTGCTCCATTTCCAGGTTCTTTTTTATAGTAAAATTAATCAAAATCGCTCTATTTCTATAAAATAGTTTCCATTCTATCAAATGAGACCAAGAAAACGAGAATACAACCACAAATACTATACGAAAATAGACCACAAAGTCGGCATTTTAATTAAAAAAACGGTCGGAGTTTTTTTTTCTCATTATGCACTGCGTGCTCCAGGATTTTTTTTATATGGTACACACTGACCACACAGACCCATTCTTTCACATGTGGGCCTACCAGCTTTCTCCTGCCTGATTTGAAGCCGCTAGAATTTATGAGTATATATATATCAAACACGGTACCTCGTAAACATATATATACGGCCGCGACAATCAAAGGGTTAAGAGAGTGCCCTCTTATACTGTAGTGTGTTAATTTAATGTGCAGCAAATTATGGTCAACCGTATCAAAAGCTTTACATAAATCAACGAAGATTCCCAGCGGGACTTCTTTCTTCTCGAGAGCGGTGTATATTAGTTCTAGCATGTGTATAATAGCATCATTTGTGCTTTTCTTAGTCCTGAATCCAAAGTGACAGGGGTTAAGTATGTTGTGTGAGATGAGGCAGGAACAGATCTGCCTATGAATTAATTTTTCAAAGATTTTAGAGAGCAGAGGTAGGTTAGATATTGGTCTATAGTTATTCAAGTCGGTATGATCACCTCCTTTTTGGATTGGGGTGATCCTCACTATTTTGAGAATTGCTGGGAAGGTGGAGGATTCAATGGATTTGTTGAAGAGTGTTGCAATAACTGGTGACACTACTTGTGATGCTTTTTTGTACATAAAAGTGGAAAGTCGTTCATGGCCCCTGCCTTGTTTTTAAGGGTGTTGATGATGAGCGAGACTTCTGTTGGGTTGGTTGGGGCTAGGAATAGTGTATTCGGGTACATGCCCATGAGGTAGTCTGATGGATGGGTGTTTGAGCTTGGGATTTTGCTCGCTAGGTTCTTTCCTATAGTGGAGAAGAAAACACTGAGTCTGTTTGCTGTTTCAGTTGGTGGGAGTAGGGGTTCATCTGATTTTGTTAATTTGATTGCTTTGTTTTTGGATATCTTTTTAGTTCCTAGAATTTTGGATAGGGTTTTCCAGGATTTTTTCATATCACCTTTTATGTTATGTAATCTGTTTTCATAATACAATTTTTTTGACCTTCTTATCAGGCTGGCAAGGATTGACAAGTAATGTTTAGAATGATCTCTAGTTATTTGACCCATTCTATACTGTTTTTCAAATAGGTGCTTTGTGTTAATGGATTTAAGGATGTTTAGTATTAGCCAGGGACTGTTCAGTCTCTTGGCTGTGATCTGCTAAGTTTTTTTAAGGCAATGCTTGTTATAGAGGTAGTGTTTTTTTTTTTTAAATTATTAATACATTCATTCATATCTGTATATGTTTCAAGCTCATTATGCCAGTCAACGTTGTTCATAGCTGTTATAAAGTTATTAACCCTTTCAGGGTTTCCGACGTACTAGTACGCATAAATTCTAGCGCCTTCAAATCAAGTAGGAAAAGGCTGGTAGGCCTATATGTGAGAGAATGGGCGTGCGTCGTCAGTTTGCACACTAGGAAAAAATCGGGCACCCAGTGGTGCATAGTGGGAATGAAATTTTAGTACACCTTATTCACCATGCCTCGTGGTAAGAAACTCCTCACTTCTTGGTGAACTGGGACACTTTTGTTCCCAGTGACAGTTCTAATACAGATGGAAGTGTCAGTGAAGATGAGTTTCAAGGTTTTGATGAGGTTGTGACCAAAACAAATGGACATAATACCGGTAATAGTGAGGAAAATCCAGATGACCGTCAACCTTCAACCTCTGGTGTTGGGCCGTCTGGTTCACACTCAGTTGTACCAGAATGAAAGAGGAAACTCGCATTTTCCCATATCCAGGACTCAGATGTGAGCAATGGTAGTGATAGTGAATATGAACTCCAAGCTCTTGAAAACAGTTCCAGTAGCGAGAGTGAAGTCGAATATTCTCCAGTGAAGCATCAGTATATACGGCACTATTAACCCTTTCAGGGTTTCTGACGTACTAGTACGCATAAATTCTAGCGCCTTCAAATCAAGCAGGAAAAGGCCGGTAGGCCTATATGTGAGAGAATGGGTGTGTGTCGTCAGTTTGCACACTAGGAAAAAATCGGGCACCCAGTGGTACATAGTGGGAATGAAATTTTAGTACACCTTATTCACCATGCCTCGTGGTAAGAAACTCCTCACTCCTCGGTGAGCTGGGACACTTTTGTTCCCCAGTGACAGTTCTAATACAGATGGAAGTGTCAGTAAAGATGAGTTTCAAGGTTTTGATGAGGTTGTGACCAAAACTAATGGACATAATACCAGTAATAGTGAGGAAAATCCAGATGACCCTCAACCTTCAGCCTCTGGTGCTGGGCCGTCTGGTTCACACTCAGTTGTACCAGAATGAAAGAGGAAACTCGT